TAGGTGTGTGTGATGGGGAGAGGGGAGGTTGGGGGGGGGGGGAGGAAGAAGAGAGTAAAGTGGGGGGGGGGGGGGGGGGGGGGAGGAAGAAGAGAGTAAAGTGGGGGGGGGGGGGGGTTAGGCACCTTGTTCAAACGAATGAAACTCCCGTCGGGGAAGCCCTGCTATCTTGGATGCCACTTGAACGCGGGTCATTTCAGATGGAGCCGCTTGGAGCAGCGGCTGATGGCCGTAATGGGGACAGGCGGCAGGCATTCAGGTGCTCTGCTCTCACAAGGAAGTCCTCATGACTGTCTGTGGATGTCTGCTCCTCACACACACACAGGCGGGAATGGCGTGATGGGAGATCACGGGGGGGGGGGGGGGGGGGGGGGGGGGAGGACAACCCCATATGTACGAACATTCATTATGCCACCATCGTGGTTCCTTTTCATCTAAAACCAATGATAGTTAATTTCTTAGCATTATCCCAAATAAAACAAAAATAAAACATGAAATCAGGCATCACTGAATCACTCAAACATGCTTCTTTTTAAATCAGTGAATGATTCCATCCCAAAAACGAACACAACAAAACCGTCTGAAGGGTTGTCCACCCCCCCTCCCTGTTGCCATGGCAAAGACAGAAAGCAAAGGCCGGGTTAGACGTGGAGATTCTGGAGAGGCAGAAGAGAGGTGAGATGATCGGTGCGAGCCTCAGCCGGGCCTTCCTGGTCACGGTCCTGATGTCGCTCGCGTTACCGTCAGCATGACGAACGTCCCGAACCCCCCAGCAAAGCCACCCCACCCTCAAGGAGCGATTTCGGGGTCGTAGGAGTGGGGCCTGACTCCGATGGGGGGGGGACCACAGCACCTCTAAGCACTGGCCCAACCCAAATCCCAGCAGCACAGGACTTCTGAGGAGCCTCAACATTATCTTGCTTCTCTTTGCCCATAATGCCCACTTTCCAAAGTCCTTTGGTCAACCTGACCATGGAATTTGGGGGGGGGGGGGGCTCATATTTGGCATTGCTTTAAAAGGCAGATCTGTTGTCTTTCGCCAGCTACCCTGTTTCTATCCCAGCACTTCTCTTCTCCAGAGGACGTTTCTTCAGTTCCATTTCTCACGCAAACCTCTTCTGAGCACGCTTGGTGAAGGCTGGGCGGTGTTCAGACCTTACGGGGACTCCATCTCGCACAACTGTTTTCTTCAGAGTATCCTGCCGATTGCTGGCTCTGATCAACACGACCCCGGTATCCCCAACACAGCACCACCTACTGGGCGGGAACTGTAATTGCTTTCATTGGACAGACAGAGGTGATGTAGTAATGTGAGAGACAGGGGGAGGAGCCTGATGGTGGAGGGGCTGTAGAAACGGAGGGAGAAGGGTAGGAAAAAATACATAATGCTGTTATTACGTTAATAGTTTTGCGATCAATCAACTGACGGGTGTCCGTTATTGGGCTTGCCGGCCGGCCGCCATCCCTAGTGACGGTCCATGGCGGCACTCTGTAGCAGATCTGTGGGTGTCTGGGTGGGGGGTCTGAAGGCGGTCTGGAAGCCGGGCGGGGGTGAGTGGAACTGGCCGGCGGGGTTGGCGGTAGGCGGTGGGTAGGCCGCCCAGCCGGCTCTGTGGAGGGGTATCTGCGCTCCAAAGGGGGCACTGTGCGGGGGCTGGGGGGGCGCGGCCGAGCCAGGAGCGTCCATCTCTGTGAGAGCCTGCAGCGACTTAAGCCAGTGTGGGGGGTTGTCGTCCTGGAGAGAGTCCAAACTGTTGCCTGAGGATGCTGGGATACCTGCGGGGGGGGGAGACATACATTGGTTGAGTCTGCAATATGGCCTGACCTTGCTGAATCAGCCCCCGCAACTTAAGCACCCCACGCCCGGAGAGAAGGTCCATGGGAGAGAGGTCGTCCCCAAACTAGAGCGGAGGCTAAAAGGGGCGTGTCAAATCCAGTGATTGGTTGGCATGCCACGGCCCAGCAAACAGCGACTTACGGACACTGCTGCCATTCGTGCAAACCTCCCAGAGAGCTGTCACCACTATTCAGACACTGACGGGTCACTGGAAGGTGTACAGTACAGCCGGAGGGACCGTCGCAAGATGGCGGAACATTCCGGCCCTTCATATCAGACACATGGCCTCAAACCCACTGACCAAAGTGCTTTTTACTAATCTCTGAATCACACCACCTCATCATGGTGATTGTTAATGTAAGGCTGGCCTGTTCACCTGGGGCCGTGAATACATCAGCGCCACCTAGTGGTCCACTCTGCATGGGAACCGCGGCAGAGCCCCGCTGTTCAGCGCGGGCGGGAGACCAGCGCACATCCGTCAGCGTGGTGAATGCTGCCCATCTGGCGCTGATTATAATCGCTGCCGGAGCGCGGAGTCGCCAGGACCGCAAATCGCCCGTAATCATTCCATACGCTGGCAGCCGGTCCAAGTGTGAATATTCATGTGGGGGAGGAGAGCAGGCCGCCTCAGCTGGGCTCCCGGAACAGAGAGAGCGCCTCCAATGGGTCTGCCTGATAGCATTCAGGACCCGCCTTTCATGGGACGACTGCGACTCTGCCAGCGAGGGGCAGAAAGGCCCGGAGCACTTCAGAGGCCTGAGTTTAACCACGAAGAAACATCCTCAAATGAAGCTCACACAGAATTGTTTAGACCAGTGCTTCCACATTCCATGCCAGCTGGGAGGGAGCAAATACATGGACTGTCTGCAGGTCCCTGAAGACTGGATTGGGAGACACTGGTTGAGATGGGTAGAGATACCAGCTTCAGCCTCTGCCACAGAGCAAAGGACCGAAGGCTTAGATGAAACGTTAAACAGGCAGTTGAGTATAAAAAGGCTATTCCCCCCCCCCCCCCCCCCCGAGGTCAATCCTCTTTGGCTGAGGCACAATTTCAAACAGGACAAATAAGGGAATCCTCAAGCAGGGAGCTTCCACAAAGTTCTAACAAACTGTGGACATTTGTCTGAGACCAAGCTCATTTCAGAGGACCACTAATCATCACAGACAGGTTCTGCGTTGCCAATCTCCTCAATACTCGATTTCATATCCACACTTCCTATATAAAACGGTGTTATCGATCACCCTTGTGTGAAATGATTAATGGAGCTGAAGCTGGAAAGATCTGTTGGACAGTAATGCTGTTCTGGACAGTCCAGTCTACACAAGCACCTCTGGGGTCAGCCATGCCTGACTTAATGTGACTTGGCCTATATCTCCAGATCGCAGTAAAAGGTCTTCATATCAGAGCTACAGAGTGATTTCCGATCTCAGAAACTGCAGTGTTCTGACTCTCCTCATTCAACTAAGTGAAGCTCATTTGTTAGGAACACATTTGGGACGCTTAACCATTACACAGTACTGTGATTCTGCCCGGACAAAATTTTTGTTTCACAGAACCGTAATCCTGATATCTTTTAATTTCAGACTGAATTCTGGCATCAGCCATAATATACTACGCTGAAAAAAAGCCGTTTAGAACATTTGAACCGCATTTGTTTTTGGAAAAGCTTGTGGGAACTAGAAGGAACCTCCGGCTCCGATGTTTATACCGATTCGTCTACAGGTTACTGCGCCGCGTCCGGTGACACCAGACTGAACCAACACTCAAAATGGCCTATCAGAGAGCCGTTGATGACAACGATGGCTGCAGCCTGGCTGTCAAACGAAGCAGCCTTGGATTTCAAGGGTGGAGTCACACAGCCGTAATGCCAGCTGTCTCCTGAGCAGGGATCTGTGCGGCATCCTCGGAACGGCACGCCGCCCAGTAGGGGGCAGACGCAATGCCAGCGTCTGCAGGTCAGCAGGGACGTGGCCTCGGTCAGACCGAGCTGGCCTGAGGCTGCCGTGCCTGACAAGCCCCC